CTGACATTTGTGGTGCCAGCCATGCACTAAGCCCAAGCCGTGAGGGGTCAGGAACAGAGCCCACCATTACCTTTCCTCCCACCTGTCTGTGCTTCTCCCCCAGCTTCAGCCCCTTTAATAGGTGCTACAGAGAGCTACAGAGACACCGCTGCCACCCTATCCTTGCTGCAGCTGTACCTATCAAGATTCTGAGGCCTCTGGTGCCCAGGAGCCTTGGCACATCCTCCCTCCCGCCTCACCCAAGGGGTAATGGTTAACGAAAGCCGGCTCGGCTAAGGAGCATGGAGGATGGGAAGCAGGTTCAAAAGGCAGCCAGGGTGTGGGGCAGTTTTGGGGTGGGCTCTGCCTCCCTCCTCCCCTGCCCTGTGAACACTGTGTTGCCCTTGCTTGTCTTGGCTGGGGACCAGACTGGCTGCGACCCGGCCAAGGGTGCTGCAGGCAGAGGGGTGCCTCCCTCCTTGCCCTCCTGGGTGCTTCTTTGAGGTCTCTTTCCTTTAGGAAAGTGCTGAGTATACTGAACTTCTCCATCCTGGGTGATGTGACCCAGGTTATGCAGTGCTGGGACCTGGCATGGTGGAGCAGGTGCTTCTCCTGCTGCAGGAGATCGAGGAGAAGCAGAAGGATAGTGGTGCCTGGCCCAGCTCAGGTCAGCAGGGCCTGTGGGAAAGGGGGCACCAGTGTAGGATTTAGAATCTGTGCCATTTGAAAAAATATGATCTCACAAGTCTGACTTTTTGTATCCAATAAAGGAGTTGGAAGACAGTAAATGTATTTATCACCCTACAAAAAGTGAGATGTTGTAGTTGTCATCTGATGATGAGGAAGTAACATTATGACCCTTAATTAAAACTGAAACACAACTAAGAAAATAAGACCGCAACAGCACAGAAGCAGGCACATACTGTCAACCAAAGGTCAATATGGTGGGGGGCACGAAACCATCCAAGATAAGCAAAACCCCCCTGACCCATTTCCAGAAGGGTGTGGAATAATAGACTACATGAGAACTAATTTGCATAGAAAGCAAGCAAGAAATCTGTCTTCAGGGCAGGGAAACCTATCTATAAAAAGGTACCCCCAAGTCAGGGTTGCATCCTCGGGACCCTGGACATCCCATCAGTTGGATCAATGCTGAAACTAGGACTGGTGATCCCTTATCTTCCTCCCTTCCTTTTTTCTTTCTTCCTTCCTTTCTTCCTTCCCCTCTTTCTTTCTTCCCTCCTTTCTTTCTTTCTCTCTCCCTTTAATTCATCTCTTCTTTTCTCTCTTCCTTTTCATCCTACCCCTTTTTCAAAAACCCACTACCATGTGCTCGTATAGGAGGTCAGGAGGTCCTACGGGCAGAGCCATGCATGCTGCATCCTGGTTCCCTGACTCTCCCAGCACTCAGAAACTGCTCCCCACTGCAGCCTGGTGGCAGCTGGGGGAGCTGTGCAGGTGGCTGCCAGCTCCAGCCACCTCCCAAGGTGTCATATAGGTCCCCTGGTCCCAAGCAGCATCACCCGGGGACAACCACCCCGCTGTGTCAGGCCCACGGCTACATGATGCCTCGCTGCCTTTTTATTTAATCCCCCACCCAGTGAGCCTGATGCACCAGGGCTGGTGGTACACTCCCAGCTTCCCCGTGTCCCCTGGGGTTCCTCCTGTCCTGGGGTGAGCTCCCCTCCCACAGCAGAGGGGTTCTGCACTGCCTACAGCCACGTCTCCCCGGCCAGGAACCCCCCCACCTGCCCCGTAAGATCCAGCTGGGGTAACCTGGGATCCCTCTTTTAATGTCCATTCATGGCCACACGGAGCCACCACCCACTGTCATGTGCGCCCGGAGTGGTGCAAGAACACAGCGTGGGAAAACCGTGCAGGAACACGGAACTGTTCCAGCTCCAGATGGATTTATGGGGATGGCTATTAGCTCTCCCACAACCAAGGTGGGGGATAAATGGATTAAAATCCTGCTCTTTGCTGGCATGTTGCTCTTTATTCCTGAGCTACTTTTCCCATCCATCCTGCTGGGGCTTGGCGACCATCTTGGATCTTTCCCTTGTGTCTCTCCACTGAAAAATATCCAGGGGTGGTGGGCAGGGATGTCACCTGTAGCTCAGCGGGATGCTTTGATGCCCAGCTCCCGGTCCATTGCCTGGAGGAAACGTTCATTGAGAAAAAGCATCTGCCCATGGGGCAGGAGACGATCCAGGAGGGCATCGGCGGCATCGGGACGGAGCAGGACGTCAGCGCCAGGGCTGAGGAGCCGCAGGGAGACGAGCAGGCGAGGAGCCAGGCGCCGCAGGGTGATTTCGGCCAAGGACAGATTTTCCTGGGGGTCACAAACCAAAGCAAAGGCGAGGGCCATCACTGATAACCAGACTACGGTCACCCGGTCAGGGAAGGGGTCTCCAGGGGGCATCTGGAAAAGCCCCCCCAGGGCATCTTGGAGTGACACCGGCTCATCAGGCAGCTGGGGGAGTTGTGGGGAGGACGGGCGGCCCAGGGATGACTGAAGCAGCTGGCACTGGGAAGCCACTTGTCTGGAAGAGAAAGGGGGAACCCTTGCGTTAAGGACCCCGGCCTCATCCAGGGACAGAGTGACCCCCTCTATTGGAGGGACAGGGTCCCCCTGTCGAGCCCAGCACCCCCAAATAAGGCGTATCTGATGAATAAGGGGGGGTCAGGGTCACTCCTGCAGAGCCCTGTCCCCCCAAAAGGGGGCTGCCATAGTTCTGGAGGTCCCACTGAATGCAGGCTCCTCTCAGGAAGGAAGGATGTCCCATAGTTATGGGGTATCTCAGCCCTGGGGTTCCGGCAAAACCAAGGAGTTCTCCCTCCCCCCCCAAACCAAAAAAAAACAAAGGAGGCATATCCCCCCTTCCTGGGGATGCTGGTCACAGGGGTCCCACCGAGCCCAGCATCCCCAGGAAGGGGGTTTCAGTGGAGGGCGATGTCGCCGCCCCGAGGCGGGGGGGCTCTCCAGGCTACCTGGCCACGACCAGCAGCTGCTCCTTGCGGCGAAGGCGCTGCCGGGGACCCCCGGGAGGGGTTCCGGGAGGGATCCCGAAGGCGCGCGCGTACAGCACGCGGCACGGGGCCTGGCCGGCGGGCCCGCCCAGCGACAGCAGCACGAAAGCCCGGACCATGACTGGGACCGCGCCCCCCGGCCCGGCCCGGCCCGGCCCGGCCCCCGCTCCGGCGGAAGGGAGCGATGATGGATCGGGAAAGGAGCGGCGGCGGCTCAGGAAGGCGCAGCCGGCGGTGGGCGGAGGGAAGGGCGGAGGACGCGCAAACGGCGGGTTGCGATTGGCCAAAGCCCCGGGGCAGCGAGAGCTGATTGGTGGGCAGCGGCCGCTGGGCAGCGGCCGGTGGGCAGGGCAGGGAGGGCGCAAACATGGCTGGAGGCAGTACCCCTGGGCAGCGCTCTTCTGGCTGTGGAACTCTCCCGTGCCTTCTCCCGACCCATCCCTGCTCCTGCTCCTGCTCCTGTTCTTGCTTTTGCTCCTGCTCCTGCTCCTGCTCCTGTCTCTGCCCCTGCCCTGGGCACAGCCGTGACCCACGCTTCCTTGCTCGCGGTCCTTCTTACTGGCGGGTGCCATGGCAACCACTGCCTTCTCCGCGGCTCGTGTCCCGCCCTTGACCCGGCCGTGTCCTCCCCAGAGCCCCCGCCTTGTGGAGGGACACCGCGATGGCTACACCGGTGGCGGTACCGGGGGCTGCGGTGCCGCTCCCTCCCCGCCGTAGGTGCCCGGGACGGTGGGGCCTGCCCAGGGCTTTTTTCCCCGGGCGGTTTGGACACCGGCCCGGGGGTCCCGGCCTAGGGAACAGCTGCAGCTCGGCCGCTGGGGCTGGGAGTCCCCGGCAATGCTCCGCTTTCCACCGCGGGATCAGCCCCAGCTCCACCACGCCGGCGGCTCCCGGTCTTGGCTCCCAGCCATGTCCCTCTGGCAGGGATAGGGGTCTCCCGGGGCGGCCGATGACCCCTCCTGCTACAGCCCTCCCTGCTCCCACCTGGTTTCTTCTCCCCAGCTCTTTTGCGGAGCCGCTACCGGCAGGACAAACCCCTCGTCCCGGCCCTGGCTCTGCTGGAACCAGGTAGAGGTGGAATCGACCACAGCGGGAGCCACTTGTGCCCGAGAGCCCCGCGTGGGGTGTGGATGCCCCAGGAAGAAGCCAGGCTGCCTGCCCTCTGCACGGCCCGGCTCCTGGCTCAGCCTGCCCGCAGATGCTGCGGGGACTTGGCGGCTCCAGCTTGTTTGTGGCTCCAGCTCGTGGACGTCTGTGGCTACGTCCAGCTTGTTTATGGCTCCAGCTCACTTGCAGCTTCAAGTTATTTGTTTCTGTCCCCAGTCTGTCTCATGTCCAGCTCGTGGATGGGTCTGGTTTGTTCTTGCTTCCAGCACATTTTAGGCTTCAGTTGGGTTTAATCTTCCTCAGCTTATTTGAAGCTCCAGTTTGTTTCCATCTGCAGTTGGTCCGTGGCTCCAGTTCATTTCCATGCTGGCTCATTACAGCTTGTGCTTGTTCAAATTATCTTGGCCTTTTTAACAGGGCCATAAATCAATCACTGTCATGACTTGAATAGGAATGGACATAATTGTACACTGTCTAAATATGGACTAAGCTTCAGGGACCAATGCAGCCAGACCCTCGGCCTTCAGAGGGGTTCCACACAAGTGCCTCCATCCTGGTTCCCACCTTGATGAATAACAGGAGCGAAGTTCCAAATAACAAGATAAAGAACAAAGTGGTTAGGCAATGGAAGCAATAACCATGGGAATGTGGAAGACAGGAAATTGATGGCCTAAGTTCATGAAGGAGGGAAATGAAGATAAAACCCTTCTTGTCTGGGGCATGTAATGATGAGCTAGAAAAACCCCTGTTTTGACTGGTTCTGTGGTGAGAACTTGCCCAGTGATGAACTTTTGCTTTTTATAATAGTAAAAAAACACACCCCAGCTCAGGATCCCCCTGCCCACAAAAAGACCACCACTCACTGAGCATGCGCTTTGATTTCTTGGGACACAATGGCTTTAATTCAAAGCAGAGAAAGAATGAGCCAATAACAACTTAGCCAAGTAGTGACTTCAGTGAGATATGCTAATAGCCTAAGATTGTAACTGTATAAGTAGGCCTGCTTTTTTGTGTCTTGGGGTGCTGGATTTGGGAATTTACCACAGATCACCCCTTTCTGCACAGAACTATAAATTAAATTATGTGCCATGCCTAGAAAAAAATCTCCTTTCTTACAGTGGCTGAGTTTGGTTGAGTCTCTGATCCTATGTGTTAACCTATAGAAGCCCTCACCCTTTTCACCACACTGGTAATTCCCTCAGTAACTTTAATATAGGAAGATGATCAAGAAATGTTTGCACACTATTCTAGCAAGGAAGACAACTTTTTTCTTGAACATAGAGCCCTGGGGCCTCGAACTGTGTTCAGTGGCTGCTGCTGTATCAAATTATTTTTCCTTGTTGCCGTTTCCATCCATTTGTACCTGCTATAAGATAACCACTGCTCCCTCCAGGAAGATCAAGGGCCTATAGGGCAAGTTTGTTCTTTCAAGCATTATATGCCAGCGTTACTCAGAATCCAGCATCTAAAAGGGCTACAGGAGAGCTGGAGACAGACTTTGGACAAGAGAATGTTGTGACAGGACAAAGGGGAATGGCTTCAAACTGACAGAAGGCAGGTTTAGATTAGATATTGGGAAGAAATTCTTCCCTGTGGGGACGGAGAGACACTGGAATGTGTTGCCCAGAGAAGATGTGGATGCCCCATTCCTGAAATTGTTCAAAGCCAGGTTGGATGGGACTTGGAGCAACCTGGTCTAGTGGAAAATGTCCCTGATTATGGCAGGAAGGTTGGGACTAGATGATCTTTAAGGTCCTTTCCAACCCAAACCATTCTACAATTCTACGATTCTAAGATACAAACAGGTCTAGTTCTGTCTTCTGGGTGCCAAGCTTATGCAGTCATGTTTTCCTTATGACCAAACTAGTTTTCCTTTCATCTGAAACAGAAAACAGTAGGCTGAAGTAAAATTAAACTGAAAGAGAGGAATGAATCATTTCCCTATTTAGAACAGGATGAGGATTAAAAAAAAAACCCAAACAAGAACAAAACAAATAAACCAACAACCCAACCCCAAAGCACAGAAGGATATTTTGGTAGTAACCTTGCTGGTACAGCTGCTAACATAAATACTTCCTGACAAAAGTGCATTTTATGAGCAATGTGTAACAGTTAACCCATGAAGACTTGTGCACTGAGAGCAAGGTTTGGGAAGCCATTACCTTTGGCTGCACTGATTTCAGGTGGGCTTGGCAATTTTGTTTCACTTCACTTCTGAAAAAAAATCAGAAATTGCTTTCAGAGGTCTGGCAGGGAGGTGATGGCACTGGAGTGGCTGGAACTGGAGAAATCCAGCAAAACCTGAGCAAAATACTTCTTCAGTGCTTCAGGACTTAGTTTGGCAAGTGAAAGGAAATTCAAGTGCACTCTCATGGCTCAGCCTCTTAACTAGGGAAAAGAATTCCCAATGGTGTTTCTGAAGCCACTTCTTACTAAGCAGATGACCAGCTCCAAGGAGAAGCTCTTAATTCAAAATAATATAGTTCCACCATTTTCTGAACAATGTGCTCTTACCTGCTTTTTTATGGGAAAAACTACTTTATGACAATAGAAATCCTCTCAGCTCATCAGTCTGTACTCTGAAGCCGCTTTTCTTGTGTTCTCTTTTCTCTTCATCTTTGAGTTTCTTGTTCTTGGGTTATCCTTAGCATACAGTTACTGTCACATTTACAGGAGAGGTGTGTGCAGCCGGTTGAAGAAGCCACCTCCCAGAAAATCAGCACAAGACCCACCATTCAGCTTGTCCACTATTTCGTTTTACACCCTCCTGCCTGATTTCTTGGTGTATATCATACCAAATGCCTATCTATCTGCCTGTTGTTTTTATGGAGAATCTTCCCCTCATCTGGCAGCATTGATGGTGAGGACCAGGACTAGTATGCCAGAAGGGAGCGTCGGTGAGCCTGTCGGTGACTGAGTGTCACCCACTGCACACGTGAGCAGGAGCTCATGCCAGTTCTTCTGAAAAGTGGTTGTGCTTGTGTATTCATAGACTTGTTTCCCTTGTTAATGGTAGATGATTTACAGGAGCACAGGGAAGAGGCTGCTCTGCAGCAGAAAATTTAAATGCTGTGTGACCTTGCTTTTTGAAGGGTCATTCAACCTTTGTGTTGTAACTTACCTTTATGGCTTTCAAGTCAACTATCTTATATATAAGGGGCAGAGGCCCCAAAGCCCTGTTTTGGCTTCCCACCTCCCCTTACTTAATTTTTGCTGGTTTTGGCTACTCCCAGTTCCCATTCCTCCACAAAAACAGCACCCATCTAGCATGAAAAAAATACAAGTAGTAGAAAGTTTAACAAGACCTCTACCAGGGTTTTCCTATGAGTTACCTGCTTGGAATTCCCACCGTCATTACTATAATCTGCGGCTTCCCCAAATTTGAGCTGTAAATATAACTACTTGCAGCTGGAACAGCATCTGCAAAACCACTTCTCTCCAACTGATAGTAACATGGGTTTGATTCAAACTTTGAATGACTGCTGTTACAAGGACTTCCAGCTCCTAAGATCTTTAATGAAGTGACTGCTAAAAAAATACTGCAAACCTCTTGAGATGTATATGTCATTTCCCAGTGTTAAAATAGCTGTTGCTTTAAAGGGTACCTTTGGGATACAGCGTTATAAATTTCCTCTTACAACCAATTTGTTGCAAGGAGATCCAAATCCGCAAAACTGCATCAGTACTGTGAAACTTGTTTTCTGAGCACCCTTCCTTCTTGCCAACACACTCTGTCCCCAGGCATGGAAAAAGGGACTACCAGTTTGTCACCACTTTGTATGTCAGAGGACATCAAGTCCTACAAAGTAAATGCCATAGCAAAGCCATTCCCGCTCCTGAGAAACCAGAACAGCGTGGACGTGCTGCTGCATGCATTCTGCTTCTCATGTGTTGTGTCCCAGGAAGCCTAATTTAACTAAGGAAAAGACTTGCAATCCTTATAAACCCTGTCTCCCAAGTGTTTGGGAGAAACAGGTAACCTGGTCAGGCAGGAGGAGTCTGGTTGGATACAGATGATACAAGACGGAACCTTCAGTGACAGAAGCACATCCCAGAGTGAGGAAGAACACCTAAAGCATCAAGAGGCAGTACTGGGAGAGATGGAGAAAGGAATACCATTTAACCAACACAGCTTTGCTCACTGCAAATTTTAACTCTGCAACATAAGCCACTCTAGGTCATGTCCAATGCCTCCTGTGCAGCCAAGGGGTGAGGAAGAAGGCTGATGTGATGGTGAGGTGGATCCAAGCTGCCCACTGCTATACGAAGAGCAGGGTGCAGGACTCAAGCTCGTGATTTACACTTGAAGGGAATAGAAGTATCTCACCTCCCCGCAGGTAACAAGTCTCTTTTATTAAAAGCCCCTTCAATTTTAAACATTGTGATTAATTTCTGTCAGCCCATGGAAGGCATCTCTGCCACACCATCAAGCTCAGATGGACAGAGAGCTATCCTACTTCTGTTACTCTTTCAAATCCACAAAGGATGCACAAATAAGGGTTGAAGAAATGCTCAACAACATCCTCCCCACAAAAAGCTCTTCCCTTTCTACAGCTGCTACCGCCATAGCTCAAGGACAGCCCAAGCCTTTTCTGCTGCTGAGCTGCAACAATTCTGCTATTGTGGGGTACTCAGAAAGCGTTGCCCAGATCAGACCACCTCCCCAAATAGCCTTTGTTTTATTTAAATCAAGAAAGCCATTTGTTTAAACCAAATCAATACAAATTTGGAACATCAGCTTCATGCTTCCTTCTGGAATTAAATTATCATTTTTAATAGGGCAAATAGTAAACAATTAGAGAACCAAAATAGAAATGAGAAGACTCATTCCCAACTTCTGATCACTACACCTTCCCAGAGACTCTTGTTCCAGCTCCTGGCCTCTGCTGCAGGCAAGGCTATGCTGGGACTGTGGTCTGCTCTGTCGATACCTTGAGCTCTTTGGGGAACTTCTCGTCTCCCTGCCTACAGCTCCTCCAGCTGCTCCAAGCTCCTTTCATGCTCTCCCTGCTGAACGTGCATGGGGACTACACTGCACTGTGGCTCCAGCCAGCTCTGTCTCCAGCAGTTTTAATGCAAGCCATGGTCAGAAGCAGGGGGATGCTTGGGACAGCCTACCTGATCCCAGCATGGATGTGAGACAGAGGAAGGTGGACCAACACAGCATATATTGTTCTGACAGTCTGACTTTATGAAGGCTGCCGTTGTGCTGCCCCATTTCATCTAATTAAGTGTGCTCTGTGTGTGCTCCCTGGAAAGCTTCAGTACTGCACTTGCTGGCTCCTCTACTGCCTCTGTTATTTTATGTGGTAGAAACCAAGCAGTCATACTCTGAAGCTGAAGGTGCTCCCAACACTTTTCTTCCAGCATCTGGGTCCCTAGGGATTCAGTCTATCTCCTGTAACATGGCTAATTGATTTGACCCCATTACCTTAATTTAATATACTGTCCCACTTCACCCTGGCAGAGGTTCTTCTGCCATGCCTGTGCCCTTTGCACCTCCACATTACTGCCTCACCAACTCTTCCTTCCACCTACTGTGCTATGTCCTAGCATGCTTGTTCCTTAGACTCCCAAGATTTGTGCAGAAGGACATGAATAATCCCACTGGCTTAACCTCCTTGTAGACTGATGGCTACAACATTTCCCAAGAGTTTGTCCAGGAAGCCTGTGTCATCCCTGGCCAACCACCCCTGTGCTCTGGTCTTGCACTTCACACATGACTGTCAACCGCCCTGTATCACCAAAAGCACTGCCAACCAATCTCCCGATCTCCTTGAGTTTATCCAGATAAGATAAGGAAAAGAACTGGTTTCAAGGTCTTTAGTCCACATTTCTATTTTCTCGTTTGGTATCTTCCTAAGTGACAGGAAAGCTCCCATTTTTTTCAGCGAAATCCCTGTTGTAAATCCATGAGCACATAGCAGAGCTGGGTGGGTGTTAGTACCTCACCAGCGTGCACCAGGCACAAGCCAACATCCTGGGCAGGAACAGGAGTGCTCCTTCTCCCCATCTACTTCATCCTGTCAGGCAGGGATGTCCCATGCCAGGCTCACCACGTGGGCAAGGTGCATCAGCAAGATGTGTCAGACCAGGAGCTGTCTCAGACACTGACCATCCACGCTGTCTTTCTTCAAACCAGCTGCACCACTTGAGCTCCCTTGACTTGCTGCCTTTGATGGATGGGAGCACCCCAAAATTCCCACTCCTACCTCAGAAGCAGAGCTGAAAGTCCTCCCCATCTTTCTTTGGCAAAACAAGGCAAGCTAGGCTTTTGATCATCAAAGTTTTCCTGTTTGGAAGGAGGAGGAGCCGTCTAGTCATGGGTTCATTGATTCCTTGCCCAGCAGGAATGTTTGCTTGGGCACAACTCAGCCGCACCTCTGATGACTAACAGGCAGTGCTCTCTCTCTTTGATATACTATCAGCTGGGTTTATCAGAGTATCAACACAACCTCCCCACTCCTGGACTCTCCCCTTCTAGCCAGCTCTCCTTGCAGAGCAGGCAGGGGCTGCGTGGGAGCTGAGTTTACCTCTTATTTCAAGGAATCCTAACAGCAGGTTTTAAGCTACTTATTTACTTTTTTGGTCTGCGCAGGAAGTCTGAACTAAAAAAAAAAAAAGACAGAAGCATAATTACTCTGGCGTGCCTGCATTCCTACTTTAGGCTCAGACGGGCAGGGACTCTTTCTCGTTGGAGCCAGGAAGAGGATCTTATCCCTGGAGATCACCGCCACAAACGTGTGTAACTGAAACCTGCAGCCATGCTGAAACAGATATTATCAGACATGTACATCGATCCTGACCTGCTGGCAGAACTCAGCGAGGAGCAGAAACAGATCCTCTTCTTCAAGATGAGGCAGGAACAGATCAGACGGTGGGAGGAAAGAGAAGCTGCTGCGGACAAGGCTCCAGCAAAGAAGCCACTGCCAAGAAAAGGTAAGTCTTTGCCTCCTGGCTGCTTCACCCTCTGACACATATCTGGCCTAGTCAATTGCTCCCTAAAAATAGGAAGTAATGTATGTTAGAGTAATTTCTTCTCCCAGGGACATATAACAGGCTTATCTCCAAACCGTACCTAAACCCACCTGCAATGGGGTAGTTTTGGCCAGACACACTATTGTTTTACTCCCTGACCCAGACACTCTGTCCTTGACCAAATTGCTCAGCTCCCCTAGCTGGGAAGACAGGGCTTATTTGCCTCCAGGAGATGCATCTCATTAAGTTTCCCACTAAATGGGGCCTCTGTCTTTAACATAACCAGGGATTTGAATATCTCTCCTGAGGCATCAGATCTACAGTTCCCACTGAGACTTTAGATCTGAAGTTCCCTTGCCAGGCTTACACAGCATGCTGACTACTAGGAAGATAGCACTCTTCTCCCAGCTCTCCCCCACAGTGCTCTGTTTGCAGGTGGTTCACCCTCACATAGTTTGGGGAGGGCAGTGGCCAGTGATTAAAATAAGAAAATAAACAGTAGTGAGCCTTCTCCTTTGCCCCTAGATTCAGACTTCCTTCACTGACCTGGCTTCAATAGCATGAAAAAAAATGTGAAGTGTGAGCTGACTCCCAGCAGAGTGTTCCCCATGTATAGTTGCTTTTGGACAGGTTCTGTCATCAACAGCAGCCAGTAGGGCACAGCAGGTGGGACACAGACCCTGCCATCCAGCAAACAGCATTTGCCAAAGAGCTGCTTCTTTTCCAGCCAATGGAAAGTCGGTGACATGGAAACTGGGTGCTGACAACGATGTCTGGGTCTGGGTGATGGGTGAGCATCCTTCAGATAAACCGTATGCAGCCATCTGTGAAGAGATCCAGGCACAAAGAGCAGAGCGCTTGGCGAGAGAGCAAGGCAAGGAGGGCAGGTAAGCACCCTTCAGCTGGAGGACTGAGTGGGCCAACGAGGAGGAGAAGGCTTTTCTAGGGACCCAGAGGCTGGAGTCTTCTCTGTAGGGGCTGTGATTACCACTGTCACACTGGACTTGCAGGCAAAAGGCACAGGCAAAGGTTGGTTGGCTTTCTGTGGGGACACACAATGCTGGCAGAGACCAGCTCCTGCCTGAGACTTGCTCCGGCTCATTGAGCCTCCCATGATGTGGCTCCCGCGCAGGGACCACAGGAAATGCCAGCACTGTTGTTGCGCCAGGTGGTGAGCTTGGATTGCACTGATTCACTGACAGGTGCCAGTGTGCAGCCTGACAACAGCTGCTCACCACAAGTCTTTAAATTAATTGCTGCACCTACCTAATTTGGAGATATAAGTGCCCATACGCACATGGCTTCAATGCAGCGCTGCTCTGCTCACGTGCAGCTTCCTTGCAAGATGCTCATGGAGCAGAAAGTGACTCCCTCGGGTTCCTAAGTCCTCTCTCTTGCATTTCAGAGAGACTGACTCTTCTGTAACATGGTCCCCACACCCACAGCCAGGACTACTGGGTGAGACAGATCTTCATGGGAATAAGAAAAGCACTGTGGAGACAAAGGAGGAATTTGGGAGAAAAATGACTGATACAACAACAGGGAAAAGCCAGGAGCTCACAAAGGTAGTTTTCCTCTTTTCCCATAACTATCAGAAATACATGTTTTGAGATCTAGGAAGTGCAGCAAATCCTGGTTGTTGTAAATAGAAATCTGAAGAAAAAAATCTGTTAAGGCTTTTCTTCTGTAGTCAGAGAAGAAGCCATGCTGTCACATCCTTCCTTAGGACTCAGGAGGTCTCAGGTAGGAGAGATCTACTCTGTAGCAACAGATAAGTTACTCTGAATTCTTTTGCTTCCATTCTCTGTGGGTAAAACGAGGGGTGCAATAACTTCCCTCCTGCACTGTGGCTGGTTTGGATGGCTTTTGGGGCAAGACAAGGCAGGCTATCCCAGGATCTGTACATGCAAGGTCACAGCCCTTAGACAAATTATCTACTTTTATTGGAGAACAGATGAAGATAATTTTACCAGCATCATCTGACATGCATATTTTAGGTGGTTCTTAGGTTTTTCGGTCTTCTAAAATAGTAAGAAAACAGCTTATGACCCTGACAGCACAGGACAATTCAAAATGCAGTAACTACACTGTCTGCTTCACTTTGGTGTTTCATTACAGAAATATTTTTCTCCAGCAATAAATACATTTCTTCTTTTTAACTGGCTACAGAAAGCCATTTGAAGAGAACTACCCATGCAACCACAGTAGAACAGAAGGAACAGAACACCCTACCAATTTAATGGGAGAAGTCCAATCTCATTCAGCAGTTTCCATTCAGCCTTGAATGAACTTGTACGAGTGCATATTCTTTTATCGTACAGCCACCCCATATTTTGGTATAAAAAGCAAGATAACAGAAGGTTGGGTTTTGGCAACATGCTCTCCTGCTGCTACCAAAATAGTGAAGAGAATTTGGAGTGGCTGTTTCCTTTATCAAAAGCCTCTGAGTCACATGGGGCTTTTCTCCACACTGTTTGCTGAAGTTGAGCAACTGTGTGGGAGATTTTTTTTTTCGAAGGAAGTTATTAGTCACAGCTGAAAAAAAAAAAAAAAAGAAAGAAAAAGAAAAAAACCCCATGCTACCACCAAAAATCTAATTCCAAAAGATCTAGTTCCCATTTAACGTAAGGGATCCAGGCATCGTGCTTTGTCTGTTGCACAGAACAGACAAAGATCTAAGAAAGAAAGCAGCTTCACGCACATTTGAAGTTCCTAGTTTCCTGGAGGAGAAAGAAACTGTGAAGCCGTATTCATATTAAATATTAGCCAAGTAGGTGACAGAGCTAAAACAAAGCGTGTCCTTGGTAAGCAGTGTAGTACAGTTACCTCATTACTCACTGTGCCGTGGGAGCAGTCAGGGTCCAATGGGGAGGTGGGTGGGTGTTTACTCAAAGACAAATCTAACTGTTCACCTTCAAAGTCAGGTCTCAGCTAGTGACTGCTGTCAGGGTAGCCAGACTGGTTTGCAGGGGAGAGCAAACAGGAGATATGCAGCTAGTTGGGTCAGTCTGTTGAGGAGGAGTTTGCAACACCCCAGCCATAGCTACAAAACAAGCACAGGCTTGTAAAGTTGTGGATGGCAAGTTCTGCAAGGGGTTGATTTAGGGGGAGGGAGGAAAGAGACTGCTCCCTGGAAGCACTTGGAAGCTTAGCAAATCTAGACCTGCTTATGGCAATCCTGACACTCCTGAGGTCTCCTCATGTGGGATGTTAGGCCTAATATGATGGAAAACCGAATGTTTGTCAGAGAAGGCTGGCAAAATTTGTTAACAAATGTCATGACTGCCTCTGCATTATACATCTATTGCTCCAAAAGAAGAGCAATTGTCCTAACATCACATTTATTTCTCACCACTCTTTTGCTCTGCTCAGAGGGGAACCAGAGATGTTCACCAGATGCTGGCAGACTGTCATATGAGAAAACTTAGCTTTCAAAAGGTAAGTGGCAACCTATGATGCTCCTGACACATTGAGTGGGGCCCAGGCTTTATCCTAGAGTCCCAGTCAGCCTCAAAGCCTCATCTGACCTAAGAATGTTCTCACCTCTTGGACCAGTGTTGCCATACTCCTCATGTACAGTGTGACAATTGGTGGTGATAAAAAGCAGACCAGACTGGCAGACTGGGGAGTAGCACAAGGAGATGCTCCTGATGATTTCTGGTACACTGTTTTCCCTCACTTCCTCTGTTGTCACCTGGAGTAAAGACAGAGGATCTGTATGTTGTTGAAGTTGGAGAGATTCACAGTACCGAACAGAGTTCCCACTATTTGAGGGCTAGCTGAAAAGCAGGATTAAAACTTGCCTGCAACAAAGCTGAACATACTGTTTCTTTCGTAGCCAAAGGAAGCACAGAGAAGAAATTCCGAAGAGACCACAGACCCCCAGGAGGCAATACCACAGAGTCACCCCAGCACAGAGAGCCAGAGAACGTTGCAGAAATCGGATGAGAATGAGCCTGAATGGCAGGAATTCTGTAAGATCTTAGGATAACTTTTTCCTATGAGGCTTGAGAAATCCTAGGGCTCTGTGGGGTCATCTCAATCCTTCTGCTGTCACACTGGAATTGAATAATAGGTCAGTGGGTGGAGAGTATTGCCAAGAAATACAGCACTGCATTATCAGAAATATTTCTGAGTCCACGCAGCCTTGAGACTAGAGCTGGGCAGGGAAATGGAAAATTTTTCCTACTGATACTATATTAAAACAAACAACAAAGGAACCACATGAGTATAGACAGGATAATTAATCCTAAACTAGAAGCTGGCCATTTGTAGGACTTTGCAGTAACCGTTGCTCTTGAGGACAAGGATAATGGGTGACAGGAACTAATTAAAAAGAGCTTCCCTGTTATCCAAGTATGGTCCCATCTAAGCAGAGCCCTGCTGCATTATCTCGTGTAATGAATCCCAACAATAGGAAGGAAAGTGGCAAACAGTAAGAGACTTGCAGTAGCAGCCATCAGTACTGCCAAATACTTCCTGAGGGAGAACCTGATGAATTTTTTTTCCCAGTTCCTCCCCTGCTGCTCAGTAGATGGCAATGCTGTACCACCAGTTGCTTCCACTTCAGGCTAGGGGTTCTATTTTCCTGACTGATTAAAAAAAAAAAAGTTGACTGGAGAGCTGGTTTCTCCTACAGTCTCTAGGGTGAGGTGGACCTAAACAATCAAGGCAGTTTTACAGAAAAAAAAAAAAAAAAGAAGAAAGCAAAACACACCCAAGTTCTCCACATTACATAAGAGTTTCAGCAAGGCTCTCCCCCACCCTCCAAAATGGATCATCCCTTTCAAATCCTTGAAAAGTTTGATTTTAGGTCATTTCAGCAGCTTTAATTCCATATGGCCTGCCCCTCACCAGCTTACAGAAATCTGTATCTGAACCAGGAGTCAGCATCTGAAACAAAAACCAAGAAGTGTCTAAGTACAAAGGGACTTGGTATCCAGAAAAAAGCCAGATTTTAGTGTCTTGAAGGAATAAACACTGTACCCTGTTAAGTGGCAGATGCCACTTAACACGTGGGAGACACGTGGCAAATGGTCTCACAACTGAGTGAATCTTTCAGCTTGTGAAATGGATTACTCTTCCACTTCATCAAGCAGGAAGATGGCCAAAGGGCAGCAAGCTTTAAACCTGCCTGCTTGTTCGCTCCTGTAGGACTCCTTTTTTGTTCCAGTGCGGAAATCCAAGGCAGCAGATGAGAAGAGACGGTCCCTTGCACGGCAAGCCAGGGATGACTACAGGAGGCTTTCACTGCAGGGCATCCACAGAGGGAAGCAGGCAGATATTTCCAAGGGTGCCGCAGCAGGAGATCGGCGACCACTCCAGTATCCACCTCTCCCCCCCAAGCCTAAACTTCTACCTCCTGTGACAGCAAATGGGAGAGCGATTAGGTAAGGAAGCCCCTGTGCCCTGTGGAGGGGAGAAAGGATGAGATTCTTCTACTCTAGCATGGGATGGTTGAGATGGGAATGGTTAGCTCTCCTCCTTGTGTGGGAGAGACACCCCACAAGGAAAAATACAGAGCCTAGGCTATGTTCCAGCCTAGGGTGTGATGAGGCCCTCCTGGAGGGTAACAGGCTTATTTAGTAGAGTGTCCTAAGCCTGGAGTGCATATAGCTTTTATGATGCCAGATGTCTGCTAAAAAACATATTCTACACAGCTGCACTACTGTAAGCTGCCTGTTTATGGATGTTCTTGAAATCCTAAGCAAAAGGTAAGTTCAGTGCAAGGACTCAAAACCTGTTTGAACCTGATGCACAAACCACGGTCTTTTCTAACAGGAAAGAGGGAATCCAGAGGACAATCTCCAATTCCACTGAAGAAAGCATCATCAAGTGGTTCAAAGAGGAGCAATTCCCTCTCCGAGCTGGCTATCTGAAAACCACGGACACAATAGCACCTTGGTTCCATGGTGAGTCCTGAGCATTCCCACCCCAATCCAAACTGTTTAAGGAGTTGTTTCTGTTAGACGAGGCTGCTAACACAGGATGGGCCCAGGAATAAAGCTCCTGCTATGCTGGAATCAGTGTACAACAAACTGCAGTGCCATTCTCTCTCATAACACAGAAACTGTCCTTTCAAGACCTGTACGTTTGTCACCCATAGCTGGCCAAGTCTGGAGCAGTTATCACAGAGCAACTAGCCTGTGGCCATGGTCTGTTACTAGCAATGGCAGTACTGTTCTTCCTGGGCTACTGGGCAAGAAAACAAGGGATGGGAGTGCCACAGACCGGGTTTAGAGTAGTAAAGCAGATTTCTTGTGAGAACTGTTCTATCCAGTCCTGCACAAATTGCTTTTCTCCATTCAGTTCTGTGCTTTGATTTTGAACAGGTATCCTAACCTCTAAGAAAGCAGAGGAGCTTCTGGATAAAACAGTACCAGGGAGTTTTCTGATCCGGGTCAGTGAGAAAATCAAAGGCTATGTGCTCTCCTATCGAGCTGTGGAAGGATGTAAACACTTCCTCATTGATGCCTCCAGTGATTCCTACAGCTTCCTTGGAGTGGACCAGCTGCAACATTCAACGCTGGCTGACCTTGTAGACTACCACAAGGTAAACATCTATCAATGCATTCATTAACTGTTTAATTGCCTCAGGGCACTCCAAAATAAGAAAGAATAGATGCAGTTATTTTGAAGTAGGTAACTAGACCCATTTTAACTGCTGTTGGGTTTTAACTGCTGTGTGCTGCTCCAGGAAGGGTATGTCAGCCTGATCAGTACATCTCAGGAGGCCTAACACGTCTCAGACATCTTAGATCTGACTCATTCACTCTGAAGCACACAGAATACCTTGCACACAGGGCTCAAGTTACTTTCGTGCTACTTAGAAATGTTGCTCAAGTGAGAGGTGACAGCATACTCATATAGACTCCTTTCTTTCGTATCTTCTGTGGTTTTGTGGTTCTGGCAAGTTGGGTAAACAGAAAATCCTGCTTGCATCCAGCTTCAGCGTGGAAGAGAACAAGGTATCTTTATAATCTCAAAGCAGACAAGGCGTGATACTGAGCAAAGATGATAAAAAAATAGAAGGGAAGGAAGAAGGTTGGCAGATTTTGCAACAATAACAGTAGTGTCTACCAGCACTGACAGCAGTTACATGGGCTCCAAGGAGAGCCAGATGGATTGTTCATTCCTTCACTGTAAGAGCTGCCCAGACACAAGACAATACTTTTTCTTACAGGTTCATTTAAAATCCCTGTTTCTTTTCAATAAGTGCCCAACCTAATACAGACATGGCTAAACAAAATTTGAAATGAGGACCATATTTATGTTCGTTTGCTCTACAGAACTCTACCTGGGCTGCCTGAACTTGCTTCTTGCATGGTTTTCACAGTTCAGGCTGAAATTACTGAAAGTGGAAGCTACACAGCTATTGATTCCAGATCCAGGGGATTTAAAGTCTGGCTGTGCATAGCTACATGAAAGATAGAGCCATGCCCATAGTCTGTGATGAACCCTACAGAGCCCCTGCACTACAGCAGATGTGGGCAGGCTAAACCCACTCTGCCGAAGTGAGCCAGTGGGTTCTGCTTATCACCCACTGGGTGACCATGAAAGAAGGCAAGTCCCCACCATGCATCTGCTGCTAGGATGGAGAACAAGACTGGAAGCAGAGACTGTACTATCAGGGAATTCCCTGGTTAGAACAGGATTTGCCTGAGCAGACGGTATGTGCTCACTCCAGGATCCACCCTTGTCCCTCCCACAAACACAGCCAGAAGCACATGGTCCTGCTTTCCTGCACGCTGCACAGTCCTTGCTCCAGCACTTTCTAGGCAGGGCACCACTTCATGTCACAGAAGTTGTAGCTTCGTACAAAATGAGCACAGCTCTTCCTGAGAACTGCCAGAGTTGTGTCACTGAGTTATGGCACTGAGCACAGACATTTGTTATGAAGACAGAGGACACCCATTTGGGTCGTCCCCCGAGTTCCCCAGGGCACTGAGCTGGATCACACAGTGGCATGAGTGAGGCCACACACCATAACAGAGGCAGGGAGACTGCTGTCCACCCCATGAGGTTGTAACAGGTAGGGTCTGTTTGAAAACTGGTGTTTGATCTCATCCTATATCAACAGGACGAACCCATCACTTCCTTGGGGAAGGAGCTGCTGCTGTACCCATGTGGCCAAGAGGACCAAGAGCCAGACTACATCTCTCTCTTTGCATGAACCTCCCAGTCTCACTGTGCAGTCCCAGGCTTGTATTCACAAAGACTGAACTCGGAACTAGAGCTGCTGATATTCACCTGAAACCCTAAGTGCCTCTATTTTATATCCTTCAAAATGAAGCAGTAGGAGGATAAGTACTGCTGTGGGTTTATCATATCAGCTGAGTTGAAGGATGCATCTGCCCAGCAAGCTGCAAAGCACCTGGATGTATCCAACACAGTGGAGTGAATGACTTGATTAATAGTCAATTGAACAGGAGATACTGCCACAGATTTTCAGTGTGTTTTTGCAGATTTTTTTTCAGGGACTTCTGTATTCAAGCTGTCTTTTGTTCTTGAATGCAAGGTTGTGTGCCATCTGGGAAGTAGATTAGTACCTACAGTTGAATGAGATCATACCTTCCTGAAGGCACATAACAACTTGGAGAGGTGAATCAATCTTGATATGTAATTTGCATAATGTGAAGCTTAATTCTGTAAAATGCTGTGTCCTTGAAATGAAGGACAATCAAACTGAACATCCAAGCAAATCCTGAGTGCCTTTCAGTGAAAGGTGCTCTCTGTGATGATGGATTTTCATGAAGAGTACATTTTTTAAACTCCTCTAGCCTCTGAATATAGATCCTCACTCTTTTAACCTGTATTTAAATCCCACACAGGCCTTTCTGCATTGAGAGGGATTAACCTTTTGAAAGGGAAAGAAGGGACAGAGGCATTTGTATAAAAGACTACCGTAGGTACAGAGCATAAAAAATGTAAGAAGCAGCACCCATATCAGTATTAATACAGTTTACAGAAGAGTGTTTGCCAGTAAAGAATGCTATTTTCCAAAATGGAGCTATTTATTGCAAGTTGTGTCCGGATTACCCAGATGCATCTGGTGCAAACTTCATTACAGAACTTGTTCTTTCAATGTTATATTCTCTCTTCTTATCTGTTACACTGCTCTTTAAATACATCGTTCAGAATATTGGGGGAGAGGCTGGACAGAATCACATAACAAACTAGTCCTGAGATCCCCTCATGTTGTTGCACATGACAAACTCTACAGCTTGTTGTGGTTTGAATCTGCTAACATAGTGTTTTAGAGATGCTATCCTCAAATAGTGAACAACAGTCAATCCCATTTCAGTTGTTTACCTGTTTTTACCTGTTTTCTTTTTTTCTGTTAGATCAGGGCTATTCTGCTTAACTTGAAGGAGCAGTCAAAATCTTAGTCTTAGACTGATCTGTGTTTTGTGGGATACAGATTAAAAGAAATTGTAATCATCTGGTCTTAAAATTTACAACTACACTGACAGGGGATTTCCATTCAAGGAAAGGGAAAAACTCCACTCCAGTTACAGCAGGTGTACTTTGCTAGAAATAAAGCCTCAGTGTAAACTGAGATTCTGAATCTAACAACACTCTGGCACTGCAATTGACTTAATGAGCTTCTTGAGCATTATATCATATGTATCAAAGAAATAACTTCAACATAATCTGCATCAGTCATGAGAAGGGGTATTAGATTATTTGTAGGGGTGAAAATATCCCTCCTTCCCTCTTTATGAACTGTTTATTTTAGAAATATGGCCAAAACAAAATGTCCTTCAGACACCCTAGAGAAAAGCATCTGTTCTGACGTGGAGAATGTGCCATAGTTGTTATCCTGCAGGAGACAAATCATGAAGTGTTTTGCATACCTATGGGCTGGTAAAGACAGAGGAAAAAGTCTAAATGCATCTAAAAAAGGCATTTTGAGAGGCAGGGTGTTAACTTGCAGAAATAAGGTCCAGGCTGATCTGGCATGGACACAGCAGAACTTAATCAATTTTAGCTCTAAGATCTATAGTAAAACTCCTCAGGGTTTGCCCTGCTGAACAGTGGACCAGTAGCTTCACACAGCTTTATATTAAACTACTTATTTGCAAACGTTGTCTCAGTACAGCCCAGGAAAAAACACTCTCCATATTCACATCTATCCCCCGTTTGAGAGTCATGCCTCAGTTTTTCAAGGATTCCCAGCTTCACCTGTCTTCTGTGAGGAAAGAAGTGTGAAGTTTTGTACCTACACGTTAAGATCACTGCACTGACTGCAAAGGCAGCTATCCTGCCACAACAGATGCCCTTGAGACTGGCTCTTCTATTGTTCCAAAATCTAATTACCAAAAATATCTGTGGAGTAAGGCTAACTTGCTTCACATAACTTGTGAAACTTGATGGGGTCTTGATGACACGCTTGCTAAGGTACCCAAAATAATGAAGAGTTGAATTTAAAAGTGTCCAGTGCTTAGCATTGGAAACTAATATAGGTTTGAAAGGGCCTGTGGAGATCATCTTGTCTAGCCCTGCTAGAAATAGTTGAGGCTAGGCTTGAGGCAGGCTATGATTATGAAACTCTCATAATATACAACAACCAGTTTCAAATTCAGGTTAACTGGGACTGTTGGAACAGCTGCCTTGGAGCAGCTGAGTTACCATAGCTTTAATATGCACTCAACAAGCCATGCCTGTCTCCTCCTACTGCATAATATTTGTAAAGACACTTCATCAAAACAAAGCCCTTTATAAATAACTTATCATGTGTTCTGGGAACAAAACAGTTCTTTGAGTGATTGCTGAAGTTTCTATGATAAGTAATGTATTTTGGGGTTAAGTATACAAAGTTTTCATTCTTTTTGTACTTTGGCAGTGTTTTGGACCCTTTTGATGATTTGCAAGGGGAGTGCAGTGCAGATCGCTGACATCCAACAAAAGACAAACACATACAAACATGTGTCAGGGGAAAAGGTACTTACAGCGGCATGGTCTCCGTCTGCAGGCTCTGCATGCAGCGCTTTCAAAAGAGGTTCATAAGTGCTCTTCCTATTGCACAGTGGCACATCAAAAAGTGGTTCATTCATTGTTCAGTGCTATCTTTCATATTTCTTCCCTCGGCTTTTACAAGTCAAAAACCAAATTAGAATCTGTTTCAGACTGCCTTGTATTAACCTGAAGCTATAAACCAAAGAGGCTCAGAGAAACAGCATTTAGGTAAGCAAATGGGATTTCCAAGCCCATGCAGTTCTTGTTGGCTGGTATATATTAAAATGATAAATAGCAGTCAGCATTAAAAGAAAATGCTTTATAAGAGCAGTAACTCAGACTTTCAACAGTTATAGGCAATTGAAAAAAATCTATTAAGAAGATGACTAATTTTTAGGATTAGTACCTATAATTATCATAAGAGAATTTGCAGGGTCCAGTAATCCATCAAAAAAATTTATTTTGTTAATTACAAAAAGCTTTCTGTGCCCTGGGCAAGGCTCTGTATTTGGTTTAGAAGGAATACTTTGGTATAAAGTCAGAAAATGTTCATCAATTTTGGTATCTGGTGTTCAGAGTTCAAAGCCTCCTAAATCAGGACTGCAAGTTGATAATGTATTTCCTTTTCTTCAGCATGATAAAGCTTCTGTCTTCCAGTACCCAGGTTGTGTAGAAAAATCCCTTCACTTATCTGAACCCAGATCCCATCCATAGGAAACACAGATCTGTAGAGTGTTTTCCACATGTTGGAAGGCTGTACTGTTTCCTAGTAAGGCTAGAAGTAGAAAACCTGAAGTTTGACAAAATAATTCCCAAGCGAAACCAACTTCATTTAAAAAATAAATCTTGAGATACATACAGTATTCTAAAGCAGAAATACACCATCTGGTTCACATGATACAGATGTGGCTCATTGCTTTTTGTTCACCATCCACAGAGGAGAACACTCCCCCTCAAGTGCTTTGGAACCATCACATTTGATCAGTAGGGTTGTCTGTTTCTGAATTTGAGAAAGTACTTTCTGAGATACCTCTTTCTCTGGATGAACATCTCTGAACATCTCTGGATGAACTAACAGTGCCTTGTTAGTGCACTGCTATTGTCCCCCACCTCATCCCAGCCCCTTAAGAGAAAAGGGTTTTTGGTCACTCCAGCTTAACCTTCGTTAACAATCAGATGTCCTTCTCACAGCAGGAGCTCTGTACTTATTCAAAAATAGCCCTTTTAAGATATATCAGGTGAGATGTAGAAAAGAACTCCTAATTCTTGGCCTACAAACAGGTCAATCTTTTAAATAACTGTATACATCTTATAAACATTTCAAAGGAGGAACTCGTCCATTTGTTATTGTGAATACCACACTGGCATTTATGCAACATTCATTGTCTCCATGACATGACCTTGAGTCTCATCAAGTACTCAAGTCTCCCCTAGAAGAAGTGCTGAAAAGTCAGGCTAATGGAGTATTGAAAAGCCCCATTAGAATAAATATAAAAGTAAGGAGGACAAACACTTTCCCCTCTTCTCCTTTTGCTGCCATCTTGTTGAAATCTCCATCCCCTTTCAGCCTGATTCCATCTTCTCTGTTTTTACAAAACAACCTATTCAGAGGCTCTTGGCCTCCCTTTCTGGTTTCATGTCTTCTTACTACTCAGTTTCTGTCTGTGCAGATGGGTCTCAATCTCTTGCTTGAAAACAAGCATCCCAAGCTGGCCATGAGAAGCCTCGTTCATGGCCTTGGACTGCATGCACATTTTGTACTGCTCCGGGGTCAGCTCGTCCAGACACTGCTTTTCATGCCACAGATGGAAGAGACCCCTGACAGGCGTTCGGATCACGATGAGGTTGCTGTGAAGGTATTTGCGGTACAGATGTACATCTTCACCACCCCAGCCTTTAATGTCCAGGTCAAAGCCACCTGACACAAACAAAATACAAAATAAAAATAGAAATATATACTAGGAAACTCAATGCTACTAATTACACTGCAGCTGTTTTCTGGCTCCAATCAGCCCTTTAAAACAGACACATTTTCTGTGAACATCCAAGCGCCCAAATTTCTCAGCACCAAACCTTTAACTATCAGACAAAACTTTATTTGTACTGAGCAGTGCCTAGATTCTGGTAACCTCTATGGCACCTAGGAATAGTCTGAATATCTAACCACAGCACTTCTGCAATTTAGTGACACAGACACACTGGCCAAGGAAAGGGAGGCTGATTGTTATTTTATGTTTTAGTAAAAAGGCAGGTGTATTGGAATGTATTTTTCTTACCTATGTTGATAAAATCAGATCTGTACTGGCAAGTCATCCCAAAACCAAAGTCTCTCCAAAATCCAGTTTCTTTTTTAATAATCTGCATGGAGGGAAAAGAATGTTTACATGGAAGCAGAAATGCTTTCAGAGTGAGCAACAGACAAGCCCCTGAATGTGGTCAGAAATAGGAGCAACTGCCCTTTTATTCTTCCCCATGTGAATCCATGGCTGATCTCGAACCTGTTTTTGTAGATACTCATTGCATATATCTGCCTCCAAAAAACAGCTGTGTCATTAGCCATCATGGACAAAGCCCCTGATCCGAAATCATCAGATTTTGCTCCACTCCTGCTGTCATAGACCAAGTAGAATATTATCACACTGCTCTCTGGAGTTTACCTCTTTGCAGGCAAAACATCCTCCAAAATTGTTAGTTTCTTTCTGTGACATTCAAATGTAAGAAACATATTGGTAAAGCAGGGAAGCCAGACTCTGCTGTAAGAGCAGATGGTGGCACCTGGATTGCGGACCCCAAGAGCTCTGGAAGAAAACTGTAGTTCTAATCTTGATCGCACAACTGATGGCTTTCTGATTACCTTAATTTTGACAAAAATTAGGAAAGTACCAAGAATAATTTTCCATTACAGAACTGCTATATCCAGCTAAAACTGAAGTCCAGAAATGTTAGGCTATACTTCCCATAAAAGTCTTTGTGAAAATGAATGAACAGTCTACGTTACTGATATGAACCATGAAAATATTATGTATTACAGGTAAAAAATCAGAGCACTGAGAAACCATGGCTATAATTTTGAAAAGCAGAAATCTAAGTATAGATCCCTAGCATCATAAATTCCTGAGTGTGAGTGACCTAACCCAGTCTGGTGAGACATCCAAGAGCTTCAAGTGACTGGGCCAGGTGTTTAAAGCCTCTGAGCAAGTCAGCAGTACTTCACAGTCTTGAAGGTTTGGTTAGAAACCTATCCCTTAGCAGCTGCTTTGGAAAACTCTGACTTCCCTTGTGACAGAATTATAGAAGATAAGGAGACAGAATTTCCATTTCTGGATTTACAAATCCGAGTGTTTCCTTTACCAAGAAATGCTCTCCCAAAGTAGTCTCTCCTGATTTCTTGTTCATATCTCCCCTTTTTGTTCATAACTCTTGTCACTTCAATAGCTTTTTTTACTGCTCACATTGCTATTGCTTTCGTTTCTCATTTCTGCTTTCCTTGAAAAAGCCAACTCACTTCAGAAGCCAATTAAAAGGGAACAAAATTGTATCTGTCAGGTCTGCACTGTAACAAGTCTCCATAACGATGTCCTTACAGCAAGCCACTCAAATGCATTAGCATTATTATTTCGCATTAGCAAAAGTGGCTGCTGCACAAATCAAATTCTATCACAGATTTCCAAAGCTTTGGGTTTTTTTCCTCAGCAGCCCAAGTACCAGGACAGAGAGGTAACACTGTCTTGTTTTAATGGCATAGATCTGGCCTCATGCCTGGGAACCAGTGTGGGCTAAAAATATAAAAATCTGCATAAAAATGAGATTGGCTGTACTTCTTTAAATCAAGACGCTTTTCTGATGTAAGTATCACATTTTATGATTCAAATATTAGCTATAAATATTTTCACAATCCTGGCAACATACTTTGTGGACTTTATGCTTGCTTGAGAGTTGAACTCCATTTTATTCCCTAAGCACAATGCTTACAAGCTTGAGGATCCCTGACAGGGTCTCATCAGAGAGAGAAAAGCTAACATGAATCCCATGGTATTATCAGAATAAGACTCCTCTGAGAAAAAAACAGCAGAAGGGATTTTCCAGACTTTTCAGTAAAAGGCTTTCTGGCTACATGTTTGATAACACAGACAGCAGTAGACAAAAAAAAAAAAAAGTATTTTCAAACTCACATTCTTCATTTTTAAAGAGGAACTCTTACAAGGTGGGGGTAGTGACAGACGACTGGACTCAGACCCCAAGTGATCTTTTTCAGCTGTAGCTGTTTCTGGGCTCACAACACCACTAATTCCTATCTACCACCTACCCAGAACAACAATAGCAGCTGGGATGCTCTGGGGACAGTGTCCAGTCTGGGACATGATGAGCCCTGATAAGTGCAGTGCCTGGCAGTAACAGGGGCAGATGTGGCATTTTGGGACCTGAGCCAGAGAAACTGAATGAAGCTGCATAGCTGGCTTATGCTTCAATTTGAAAATTCAGCCACTTAGCAGGACTAGTGGGCAGAGGACTGTGACCCA